AACGTGTCGTAGACATGCCAGATGATTTGTTTTTCTGATGGCAGCCGACCCTGGCCATGCCGCTGATAAGTGCTGCACGATAATGGTGTGCGGGCATGCAAGGCAGCGCGACAGTGCCGTTACCAAAACAAAACAGCGGAACAGAGAACAGAGAAAGAACAGAAGTGATGAACAGAACAGAACAGGGCAGAACAGAGAGGAGTGAAGTGCCGACCGCCAATGACGACCAAAGGTGTCATGTCAAGGGGCTGGACATGCTGTATAGATTGTAAAAGTAGGGCAAGCCTACCTTCTTTTTGTGCCCGCTTTGTAGTGCTCATGAACTTTGTCCAAAATAACTCACGTGGTACCAACCACAGAAACCCCCACACTCAGTACAAACGGCTGTCACCAGCTGCACCATCCTTGAAATAAAAAAGTCAAGGAGAAAACAAAGCGTGACCATTGCGTTCGCAGTCCAATAATAGAGCATACGCTTTTAGTGTTCTCCCTATTTGCCCATACTTTCTTTTTGAAACATACTCAGGAGCATATCTAGTAATATACTAGCGTTGGTCCTCTCAGCTATTTGACATAAATATTTAAAGCTTATATAGCTCTATCCCCGAAAATACACCATTCCGGAAGCCAAGTCCAGCACCCGGGCAAAATATAAACGCACGCCTTGCTTGCTACACAACAAACAAAACACAACAAATTAACGTTAGTATAACGCGTGCGCTAGCTGGCGACGGTGTAAGAGATTGCCGCATCTCCGTCTGGTTTATCCCCAGCCCAGAGATGGGAAGAGGCCCTTTAATGAAATATATTCCGCAATCTGCCAGTTATTACCAGTCATTACCGGATACGGGCTCAATAATTTGGCTACGGCTTATGTTACGACCGTATCTAGCCAGTCACGTGGTACTAGCGCCGTCCAATCAGATGAGAGTCAACACTCATATGTTCCATTCCACTTCGATCTTTATCCGCCATTTCGTTAACCAACCATTTGGTCTCCAGGTTTCATTTTACGCATGGATAACGATAAATACAACACATCACAAGCGTACGACCCGGCCTCTCGTGGAACTATCTCCGATAAGCATAGCTGTGTTTGTTCACGCAGTACGTTATTCACACCCTTATTGATTTGCGTTTCTTTGCGTCTATATTATACATCATGTACCAGGGCTCCTGTATTCGTTTGTTGTTCACTTCCCTGCTTCCCTCCGTATTTATCACAGTTGATTTTGCCCGTTCAGCCTTCCAAATGCAGGTACTGTCCTGCAGTGGCCAATGTCTCTTGTGCTAGTATGGCCTCGCTGAAGTCGTCCCACCACCAGGTACGGCGTTGCGCGCATGCACGTGTGCTGTGTGTTACGAATGTTTGCTTAGTTTTGATGTGCATGAATTGAATTTTACCTACTTCTGACGCGAACTAATAGCTTGCGGCCGGCAGGATCAGGAAGGAATGTGCTGGTGCTGCGTCAGGAAGATGGCAATGACGTGGCACATGTTTGTATGAGAACTAACGGCTAATCTCGTCTGGAATTCATTCTGTTCTAAGGCGGTGCTGGCAAAGTAAACTTACTTCAAAGTCGCTCACCATGATTAACATGTACGCCATTCGATGAATCCAAAGAAGTCTATGTGGCCTGTTGCGAAAAGCAAAAGCCAGCATATTTGTTCGAGTCATCCGTAGAATATTGTGCTTGATGCTTGAAGCCAGTCAAAGCCTTCACAATCGCCATCACTGAGCAGATACGGGAATAGGAATCCTCTAACCTGTGTCAACCTTGTACGTATGGGAAGGAATTCGTCTGGAAACAAATCATGACTTACCACGCCCGCAAATTGTAAAACAGCGGAGCACTGCGGTGGTCTGTCGTCCAAGGACAAAAAGGCCTGAGAGCCATTAAGGGCTAGTTAACACAGCACCAAACCTTTTGTCTTTGGTCGGCAGTGTTTATCTGGCGCATATTTTCGATCTACTGCGTTAGAGGAAGCAGGCGATGTCCAGACTCGCTGGTTGGCAGTTTGCCTGTGGGCAGCATTGCCTGTGGCACTGGTGGGCAGAGTGAAGCAATGCCACACTGATTGCCGTGATAAATCCAGCACATGCAGTGTGCAATACCGAGACTCAGCTGCCCGCAACAGAAGTCCACCATCCTACCGGCTGCACCACTTGCGCCTGGCTGCTCCTGCTTGGAGCTTTCTTCAGTGGTAGCCATTGGTCCACGCGAGCTCGTACGTGTCCGCCTCGTGGCCGCGTGAACAGACATGGCAGTGCAGCGCCAGGCCATCACCGCATGGGGAAGCTGGCCAATAGCATGAAAGCAATGCAGTCACATGGGCATCCACGTAGATTACCACCGCCTCCAGCTGTTGCCATACGGCTGGCTTTTCTCACCGATGACTTCGAAACGCGTATTGCGAAACACAATGCGGTGACATTTTCCCTGCCTGCATGTGCTCACCTGCCCCAGGTGTGCAGTTTGCTCATTGAAAGCTACAAATGGACGTAGGTCACGTTCTCTGAATGACACTTTGCGCTGCAAGGTAAATATGCTCCAGTGCCGCCGAGCGCTATGTCAGTAGCAATGACTGTCAGGTTTTGCACTTCATTAGACTGCGACTATGTATGCTGGCGCTGAGGAGCTATTTGGTTGACACACATGGGAAGGTTGCCCGCAAAGCTGTCCCTGGGTGACACGTGAGCTAGTGAAACCCAAGACCATCTCGGTAGTGCTCGCACCGCAAAAACACGAGTATTGTAGTTAAGGTGAGAAAGTCCAGACTTAAGTGCGGGGAGTTTGTGCGCGGTAACTGATGTAAACTGAAAATCCCCTGTCGATGTTGTCTATGTCTTCACGATGTTCGAACCCACAATCTCTGTAATTAAACTCGGACTCTCATCCGTTTATCGATGTCCGTACCTCAGGCATTTGAGACCATAGCAATGACCCCACGTTCTGTCTTTTATTCAGATACGTGGCTGCTCGATCCCCCCCCCCCCCCCCCCCCCCCCATTTCCCTACAGCCGTCGCTCTTAATCATTATGTTGTGTGAGTGTGTATGTGTGTGTGCATGTCCGGCTCTGCTTTACAACTCTTGCCTCTTCTTTACTCTTACATATATATACATGTACCATATCTTTCTCTTCCGTTCTCTCTTCCTCACTCGTGCCTGATTGCCCCCGCCCCCCAGGCAGCAGCAGATGCCCTCTAGTCTGTGCGCGTGTTTAGTGTCTCACGGCCCCTTGTTTACACCCGTCAAGCGCCGAGAGCTAACTACTTAACCTGTACCTGCCGTTCCGGACAACAACGGGTCGGGACTCAGGGCGAAGCAAGGGAGCTCTGAAGACACTTCGCCGCCTGTAGGGCACGGCTTGCTGCTACTGCTGTGTCAGGCACTCCGTGCCGAGGTAATTCGGGTGTCAGCCTGTCTGGTGGCATTCAAGGGACTGTTCCATGCTTGAAGATATTGAAGCAAGCATCAGGTATGATTAAATAAGCTCACTTTTAACCATTGGTATACCTTTGAGTAGAAAAGACTGCTCTAGATAACGTAATATCTCTTTTTTTGGTGAATATGCCCTTAACTGCGTCACTGTAAAGTCAATAGTGAGACAATTTGGAGCTTGGGCCAACCACACGTACGCCTCGCATTTTTGATGCTATTGTTTCTGCACCATGATCGCAGCTTTACAGTCTTCAGAAACGCGAAGAGCGAATAATTTTAGTTGTGCTGAAGACATCTCGAGGCATTACGGTGCCATGCTGTTATCAAGCGCGTCGCTTTGCAGTATAGAATTGTGAAGAGTATTTTGTTTTTACACTGGATTAAGATGTGAGGCGATAAGAAACGAAAAAAGCGAGAGCGAGAGCGAGACATACAAGTTGTCCGGCTTTGCGCCCCGGTTCTGTGACAAATCATTCACCACAAATGCTCAGGTACAATACACTTGACTGCGGTCGTCAACACCGCAAGTAATTAGAAGTATATCATTTTCGCCGCTGGCAATGCCAGACGTGACCAAGCTGGTGGTCACGTGACCAAGTTGGTGCTCAGCCAGCTTGCAAGCATTGCATTTTCATATATCAGGGATTAAAAGGAACAACAGTGGAATGTCACCTTCCAGGCCCTTGTGAATCAGTATACCTTTATTTTATGGCTTTCCCGTGCCTTGACCACAGCTATTTGTGCGGGTTTACAAGGATGCGAGTGTTTCCATGAATTCGCGTTTGCCATCATGTAAACGGTAACTAATGACTCGTTCGTGTGTGGTCGCTATGCCCGCCTCACGCCACATAATGCGCGCTAGATTGCTGGATATAATGGTGGATTGCTTGCTAACTAAGCGCACATTCGAACACCAGCCTATGACCGCATATATGTGATTAAGCAAATGGCTCGAGCAGCATCACTTTACACGAAATCAGCCTCCGCCTAGCATCTGTATGAATGTCATTAGTGTGCGTGTATGTGTGATGTGTGTGTATGTGTGCAATAGTGCGCGAATGCTTGCCCCTGAATGCCCCTATGGCTACAATGCTTGCCCCTGAATTTGCCCTGTGGCTACAAGGCTTGCCACTGAAGTTTTCCACTGACGAAGCTGGGGTTTTCATGTTTGTGAGGCGAAATCGGGGCCGCCGCTGGCTGCGCGCCGCCTCAGGCACTGTCTGCCTGCTACAGTTACCGTCCAACAGTTTCCAGAAAACCACTATCGTTCCGCGGAGTATCACAGGCGACGAGGTTAATCACAGAGCAATTGGTTTCGGTAGGATGGCGACGTGAAACGCACTCAAGTCACCGAATCCCACCGCCGAGAAAGGCATTTTCAGAATGAATTGGTCATGATTGGCATACTTGATCAGCTTCGTGTCTGTTGGAATTGCAGCAGATGTTGCACGTGGTTAAATCGGAAACTGGAAACAGGACTATCAATGCCCAGAATTCAAATATATATATTATGGAAAATATGGCGCCATAAAGACGGGCTAGTTTCAGGTACTTACAATAGTTGGTTTCATCTCATGCCGATGAACACTTATCGTGCTTTTTTGCTCGGCAATGGTGGTGCCTCCGATCTCTCAGTCCCTTCATCAGCGTCGGTATCAAGTGACTGCGGAAGCCTTTGGACATTCGGCAGGTTTGTTAGCCTCGAACATCACGCAAATGAGTGCATAGAAAATGAGCATAGGATCGGTTTTGATTCGGCACTAGCGCGAGATGAAAAGTGCACAAGTGTTTTACCTGCGGTGCACTTAAGCTATATGCGCCTACAAGCTCGCTAATCTCAGGTAGACTTTTTGTGAAATAATAATTTGAGAAAGGGTGCGCTGTGGTTCAATGTTCTGGACCTTGATAACAAACGTGGAAAATTTCAGGGTGATTACCAAAGGTCATGACAACAAGGTGGGAGCATCACAGAAGGTAGTTACCTTAGCAGCCGTCGCACGCAAAGACCTCAATCATCACGATTTAATCGCATCGAGTCAAATTGTTCTTCCGTCTACAGGTAGCTACAAAAGTCTGCTCCTTGTAAAATATGACGGCTCCTTTTTTCTCAAATTCAGCGTTTATACAGATATCCCCATTGCATAGGCCTCTTTGAGCAAAGATCCAACGTTTTGAGTATAGAGCCACCGATTCCTAGTGGCGTAATGATGCCCCATCGACCTCTGTTTGTGTCGAAGAAGTAAGCTAAGCGATACGGAACTCCTTTAATGACCATCGCATAATGGACTAGATATAATGATATGTTTTGGCACTCGGTTGGCACGAAATAAATTTACCTGCACACGAACGCAGTGTCAAAATCATACCACCGCTCTATGCATCCATTTTAATGTCTGCATATTTGTCAAAACGTTACGGGTCTAACGCCAACCCGAATCACTGACCTATCGTCGTCGACGATATTCAGACCGACTATAATCCAGAAGTAAATGATTTCTCATAGCTTGAAGTTTAGATTCATTTTGTTGACGAATCATTCCAACAAGTGACTTGTCGTTTGATTCAGCGCAAGCATAATAGCAGTGCAAGTGCAACATATGTTCAAAAATGGCAACAACGCGACATCCTTCGTGCATGATCGTTCACTCCGTCTTTGACACAATTCGTCGAAAACAATATCATCAGTCTCCAAAATGTGCCGCACGACAAGCACATCATCCAGTCTGGCGCGAAGCTCCTTGTGGGTGCGAGAGGCGGGGATGGTCGGCCGCGGGTGGCTTTGCGATGAGGTCGTGCCGTATGACAAGGCCCCGCATGCCACCGACGGGCGGAGGGCTGGCAGATGAACGGCGCGCGCCGCTGCCGCCCGGATGGCACGCTCGCGTACCACGGTAGGTGGGATGAACAGGGACCTGGAGGGCCGCCGGAGGCCGCGAGCCATTAAGGTTATTTGAGGCTTGATTAAGGTCATACTAATGTTACTTTGATATGAGGTTGCATTAATGTATCAGTTATGGGACAATGTTACGGCAATATTAAGCCATCATGCCAATTTTTTTACGTCCAGGCACCGAGCTGGGTCTGAAACAACCCACCGACTTCACCAACCCACCGCGATGGAAACAGAACTGACCACGCACATCTTCCCTCCTTTACCTTGACAAACCTCAAGCTGTGTTTTTTATACTGCACAATACGGGACGGCGGCTTGCTATAAGATTTCCCCGTGCCGTCACATTGACGGAAGCCCGCGCACTCACACAATCTGAACACATGCCGGCCTGTCGCACCGTTGGGGGCGGTCCGCTGACGCCTGAACCCACCTTCGTCCTCCTCAGCCGACATCCGGCAGTCTCAGCCGCCGACACCGCCGCAGATACGCCCCCCGTCGACGCCGACGGCACACTGGCGGCACCGACGACGGCCCGCCGGGGCAACGTCGAGACCGACGCGACGAAGGAGGCGGCGCGGCCGGCCCGGCGCGAGGAGGGCAGACGCCGGGGCTGAGCGTCGCGCCGAATTCCTGGAGAAGGCTTCCGTGTGGCTAAGGACGCGTCAACTACGCCGCTTACTAGCGTGGAGAATGCTGGCAAGTCAGAAAGTCATCGGTGGGCTGAAATATACCATAGCGTAGCATTGTTCCATGTTGAAATGGAATGAAATCGAATGGAGCATGGAATCAGAAGTGATGCATGGTAATCACTAAACGTATCAAGTGGCAATAAAACAAGATTAAAACGCTCACTCTGTAACACATGCTAGTTTTTAATGCAAACATATAAACACATGACATCGGCTTGCACTCATGAAACACATACGAATCGCCGCAAGTAGGAGATCCATTTCTTACATAGTGTTCTCAAGGATCACAAATAGGTTTTCTGCCGGCGGCGGACAGTGGAGAATGTTTGGGAATCAAGCCGAACGCGAATCAAGTCATCACCCATTTGACGGGAAAGCATGCAGAATCAGACTCAGGCGATTCATGAGGCAAAGTCGCATACTGCAGGCCTTGTGCTGCACGTGTGTCCAAGACGCGTCATGGCTTACGATCTTCCGGCTCCATGTTGGCGGAATGATGCGCCGAGCTGTTCTGTGCCCTGCGCTGATCCAACGAGCTGTTCTGTGCCCTGCGCTGATGCAACGAGCTGTCCTGTGCCCTGCGCTGATGCAATGAGCTGTCCTGTGCCTCGTGCTGATGCAACGAGCTGTCCTGTGCCCTGCGCTAATGCACTGAGCTGTCCTGCGACCTGCACTGACACACCGAGCTGTCCTGTGCCCGGGCTGATGCACCGAGATGTCCTGTGCCCGGGCTGATGCACCGAGCTATCCTGTGCCCTGCTCTGATGCAACGAGCTGTTCTATGCCCTGCGCTAATGCACTGAGCTGTCCTGTGCTCTGTCCTGAGCAATCCTGTTGGCGAATTGCATGGGCCACACTGTCCGTGACGCCACCGCCACTGGCTATTTTTGCTGTTTACTGTAAAGAAGTGACGTTCCCTGTGTGACAAATTATGCCATGGCAAACCACTGCCAAATTTTACGACGTGATATAACGCGGCATAACATTGCGAAAGAAAGAGCGGTATGGCATAATGCAAGACAGTAGTGCAGAGAAAAACGTAACGTGACATGGTACGGCACGCGTGACATTGCAAAACGTAGGATAAAAAACAGGTTACAGCTTGACAAGAGCAAGTGTGGAAAT